TGGACACCTTGATAGGAGAGTGGTGGGTTGGTCTTGCTTGTGCCTGGGGTACAAGCGGGGCATGTGTTTTGGGTACTCAGCTGGGATACATTGATTCGTGAATCGTCGTATGATACTGTACGACTTGTCTACGATCTAGCACCGTAGTAAAAACTAGAAGATGAAAGATGATGAAATGGATTTAATTGCTCAACTCTTGCTTGAAAATAGAACATGTGTTTACATAGAATGGTTAGCTAATGAACTAATCAGGACTGCTAATAAGGAACATACATACAGATTCACTACTAGTAATACTTTTTGTAAAAAGGAAACCCAGCAAACCATAAAGCTTATCATAGCCTTTGGAGTCAGAAAATTATTCCCACTAGTCGGATAAGTCTTGCAAGTACATTATGTACTCAGGGTATATTTACTCATATTGCAGGTGCAGCTTGATGAGTGACTGTTGTGTGCAGGATTCTTCTGGTGGGTACAGATGGATTCTTGTATCTTATCGTTAGATGTTTATTTTAATTTTGCTGTTTAAATTTCGTACTCTGAACTTGGCATTGTAATAATATATTTTCTGATAACTCTTGTTGTACGAAATGGACTAAGTATTGTAAAGTCGTTCTCATTATTGGATCCTGAATGAAAAACGTGGATTATTCGAGTTCTTTCTTGGATGTGCTCGACGGAACTATCCGATGTAGCTAACTTTCGGTATGCTTAATGTCTAGTGAAAGACGAGCGCCTCTAAATGTGTGTTATTTCGGACAATCCTACCACACTTACGTACTATAATGGCATAAAGAGTCATGTGAAACATGCGCCATGTTGGGTTAAGATTGGTGGTAAAGCTTGAAGTGAGGTCTAGTGTAGGGTAGTGCTAACATCAAGAGGATACTAATATTTAAGCCTTATAATGACTGTTTACACCAAAGAAATCTCAAAGGGTAGAAAGATATACGTCCTGTTTGTTTGGTTTATAAGCCGTACTTTTTTAGTCAATGAACAATATTTTTCTATCACAATAAATCAGCCAACAGTACTTTTAGCCATGTCTTATCAGCCAAGCGAACAGGGCAATAGCCATCTACGATCCTCCTTCATTTCTCAAGATATTTGAAGTTTGTTATCAATGATTTATTATATACTCCCATGTCCCAAATTATCTGTCGTTTTTTGTTTCTATGCCGTAACTTTGACTAGATTTGTAGAAAATACGTGCAACATTTATATTTCCCAATAAATTTATTATGAAAACAGATTTAATGATCTATCTAATGATATTAATTGTGTACCATAAATATTAATATTTTTTATATAAAATTAGTCAAAGTTATTTCTCGAAAAGCAAGAACGACAGTTATTTTTTGGGACAGAGGGAGTATGCAATAATAGGTATACTATCAATATAGTCATGTAAAATGCTTTAGTTAAAATGTATAAATATATCTAAATTAACAACTTATATAATTTGTGTCATGATTATTGTAATAATGTTGATAATTTGTTAATATCATTAGTACATGATAAGTTGTTAAAAAATATTTTCAAGATTGTTGAAACATATCACTCATGCATGAATGTCTACTCGATTGGCGTGATGGCACAACATGTTTGTTTTAATCAATTTTAATATTCTAATGTTAATAGAAGCGGGTAACAATAAACATATTTATATCTTATGGTTATTTAAAAGTTTATATAATATAAGATTTTGATAATTTAGGTGTAGATTTGAGGGGATGTTTTAGTTTTCTAATAATTACATAAGAATGTAAGTTAGACGCAAATTTAGAAGGTTACATAGATTATCTTTCATGATAGTATGTGTGAAATTCATTTTACTTTAGACCATGTTTTCAATGATATATATATACCCATGAATATATATATATATATATATATATATATATTCATGGGTTACTTTACGTTGTTTCTTAAATACCTAGCTCATTAGTAGACTGTAGCAGTTGGCCTATGTGCGGTTGTTGTTAGTGGATTTATGGCCTGATTGGTAGGCCGGTTCCAACCAGCCCTGCACGTGACGCTGCAGCTTTGCAGTGATTGGTTAGCTACACGGCCACCAGAGTATAGATGGCCAACGGGCCGTGCCGGCCCGATGGGGGTCTTGCCTCGACGGGCCGTCGTGCCTGCCGTGCCGTGTCTCCACGGGCTTCGTGTCTGGCCTACGGCCCATGGCACCCGTGGGCCGTCTGACCGTGCCGTGCCGCCTGTTGGGCACGGCCATTTTTCCCGTGCCGTGCCGGCCCACAGCCCGACAACCATAACAGTGCCGGAGCCCAGTGGCGGAGAAGAGGCTAGGGAGGCAGCCAGAGGAGGAGACAGACCACAGTTAGAACGACGGCGAGCGGCGACGGAAGGACAGACACGACGAACTCACATGGTACACCGGAGGAGGAGGAAAGAGGGGATAGGAAGGGAAAGGAGGGAGGAGATGGTTAGCGAACTCAGGTCGAGGTGGACGAGCGGCGATGAGGTCACCGGAGCAGGGCCGGCGAGCTCTAGGCGGCGGATCGAGAGCGAGCGAGACGAGACGACTGCGACTACGAGCGGCGGGAGTGGAGTGGGATTAGGGTTAGGGATCGGGGGAGGGGAGGGGGGCGGGCCGGGGGGGCAGCATATATACGGCCACGGGGGAGGCGGCTTCGTGGGCTGGGCTTCCTGCGGCTTGCCTCACTAGCCGTTGGAGGCACCGGGTTGCCTCTTTCACCAGGCCGTGCCCGTGCCGTGCCGCGGGCCTAGGTGGCGGCCCAGGCACGTCCTGGTCCTTCGGGCTGGGCCAGTCCGGGCCCGATGGCCACCAGGCCGTTCCGTGCTTGGGCCGGGCCAAATTGCCGGGCCACGAGCCCGCGGACTGCATGGCCAGGTATACACCAGAGCATGGCCAGCGGCATGCAGCAGGCGCCGCCGAGCCTGGCCCCGGGCAAGCAAGAATGGATTTCCGGTTTGTTGGTTGATTTCTAGACTGATAATTTCAGCTGGTGCTGATTTGTTGTGAAAGAAAAACACTATTAGCTAACTGGCTCGTTCCTCCAGGCTTGTCTCGCGGGACCAAGGGTGCGCGTGTCTCGTGGCCCGTGTCAGAGAGAGTGCGTGTAGCTACGAGCTAAAAAACAGACAGCCAAACAACGGTTTCATGAAGCCTGGCCCGTGTAACTCATGTGAACCAAATGCTACTTCCTGGGTGTGCCCAGCCTGGCTCTAGTGGGGCACCTGGCCTATGCTTACATGTGAACCAATTATGCCCTGAGTACCACGTTGGAACTTTAGAAGGTCAAGGACCAGTTTATAACTTTATCACTCTAAATGCACATCTCTAGTTGTAGTTCTTATAGTGGTCGTTTCAGCTTGCACATCGGCACATAAGATGTTAAATTTGTTGCAGTTATATTATTTTATAAAACATAGAGTTCTTAAATTTAAACAATCAATATTGTTATGACATAATGTTTCAATATAAATGTATAAACTTATTTAAAACAACAACTTGCGAATATTATTATCACAGAATACTAATATAACATAGATTGAATTGTGAGTGTTATTGCGACTTGATTTGTTAAAGGAACATTTTTTCATGCTTGATAAGCTATTAAAATAAAAGTTATTCTAGTGTATACATGTTTCCTTGGTCTGCATTGTGAAGAATAGCATCATGCTTACTTTTAACTCAATAGTGGTAAAAGATTAAAATTTAGAAATATATATCATACTTTATGCCATTGAATTATTTCTTCATAATAGCTTATATTAATATTTTTTATAATGGGTGGAGGTAGATAAATCACATACAAATTAAGGGTTTTACTTTATATTATCTATAATAATGACAATGGTGCATAATTTATAAAATAATAGGGGGTGTTTTACATTAATTTTATAATGGGGGTATTGGATTATTTAGAATTTTAGATACAAATTTAGATATTTACTTTAAATTATATTCCACAATAGTTGCAAATTTAGGGGGAATTTTTAATTATCTTTTATAATAGCAAGTGTTGGTAATTAGGTACAAATTTAGGGAGTTATTTGGGATTATCTTTCATAATGGCAAAGGTAGGTAATTTATGTGAAAAATTTGGGGTTACTTTATATATTTTTATAATAGCATAAGTGGGTAATTTTTTATAAAACGGAATAAATTCAATGGCTATTATTGTAGATGATGATTACATTTTACCAAATTAAAAGCTAAATATTTCTGATTTTTATGAGAATATGTAGGATTTATCCTTTTTGCCTCTGTCAGGGCCTCTAATTAGTATTATTTTATAAAATAAAATAGATCCCAAGGCTATTATTGTAGATGATTACTAGATTCTACCAAATTAAAGGTTAGTTGTTTCTAATTATTGTGAGAATTTATAGAATTTATCTTTTTTTTCTAGTGCGTCTAGTGAGAATTAACATGAAGCCTTCGTTGGGGCCTCTAAGGCTCTAACTAATCTGTAACAGTAAGATTTATAAAATAGAATAGATCTAATGACTATTATTGTAAATGATGATTAGAGTCTACCAAATTAATATAAAAGATAGATGTTTCTGATTATTATGAGAATTTATAGAATTTATCTTTTTCTAGTGTGTCTAGTGAGAATTAACATGAAGGCTTGGTTGGACTTCTAATTAGCAATAGTAAGATAGATACTGAAAGTTACAAAGCTTTATAAAAAAAACACAGGTTATAATAGAGGATATATAGACTCTAGAGTGCCAATATATATCTAGCAAGCACGAGAGAATCTGTGTGCACGTTAATTTGTTCACTTGTAGTCTTATCATCACGAACAGTCAGTCCATGTCCACTAAGGGGAAGATGAACCTTTTTAATTGTATAATCACCAACCAGCTAATGTAAAACCAACATCAATCCAAGTAATACTAAATGGATAGTGCCAACACTGTGTCCAACACTCCAACCTCAATATAGCTCCTGCTTATTGAGTTTGCCATTGAGAGAAGACACTCTATATATTTAGGAATTATTACTGCTCCTGAACGTATGGTGGGAGCACCCCTTTCAATAAGGAGTCCAATAATATTAATGCTCTATCAGCCTGAGAAGATGGAACCATATGACCAGCTCCTCTGACAGAGGCAAATGTGAATCCTCCTTTGTATTGTTGAACATATCCTCCGACCTGCAAGCATTGTCATCGAAATAAGGCTTTATTCTGATGGAAATTCTCATATGAGTTTCATAGGGAAATAAGGCATCTAGTAAGTTCCGGTTTGACTTTATTCGTATTCACCTTAATCCACGCATATTTGAGTGGATTTGGGTGAAAATTAGTTAATTTTTCATCTCATACATGTGGATTAATTTGAATACCAGTGCAGCCATAAAGTGAAATTCTTTGCATCCATACAAACTATTTGCAGCCAGAACTTATATTATTACCTCCATGTTTACTGTCCACGGGCGCCATGGAGTGGTGACGTGCAGGTTAAGATCATGGATGGAATACCTCGTAGCAGGAAGTGGGCATACGGAATCAAAATCGCCACTGAAAAAAAAGCCATAATGGCATTATTTTTTCTGTCTGGATATGATAGTATATAATATGGTCTTTGCCTGACAACAGATTACCTAAAAATCCAGACAGGTAACTTCTTCTCGATTAGCCATGCGATTGTTGGCACCATGGATCTCGGTGAATCTTTCCAGTCCAGGTTTCTGCAAAAAACACACGAGTTGGAGGTGAATACTTGTAATTAGCTCACTAATATTACATCGGTGTTGATGGGTCCAATCAAAAGATCTTACGTGCATCCTGACCAGTTTGTCATTCTAGCATGGAAAGCCTTCTGCACTGCTGGGTCATTGAGGTAGGAATAGGTGTAATAATCGCTGCATGGATCGTACCCAGGTAACTGTAATACGTGGAAATCCAAACGTACGTACGGTTAGTGATTTACATATAGAACAGCAATTTTAGCAGAACCAAATTTATGAAGTGAAAACATTACGAAAGCCTTACGTTGCCACTGGGGTAGTATGCTCCGTTGGCCGCATCAACACAGATTGGAGCATATATGTTGTAGTAATCAAACTGTCCAGGATGGAAAGCTTCCAAAGCGCCCTCACATTCCTCGCCATCTGAATCGTCAAAATGACAGTGCCTGGTTATGTTGGCGAAGATCTCGTCAGACAGCGTCCCATGGCTCCAGAAGTAGTCAATTCTACCCTTGAAGTTCATATTGTGGTCGAGAAATGGATTTCCAACCTTGAAGGAAAAGGATATAGACCCATTAATTAAGGACAGTTTGATTTGGTTGTTATTGTAAAGTTAATTATAACCTGCTTCAATGAACTAAGAAAAAAATCGATTTGGTACCAAGATGCCGCGTAGGTTTATGGCTGTCTTGCTGTTGTAGGAATTCTCGATTAGAATGGTGGCAGCAAGTTGGGGCACATAATGCCCGGCGTAGCTCTCCCCGGAGATGTAGAATGGACGGCTTTTGTATTCAGGGAAGCGCTCCAGCCAGTTAACCAAGAACAAATACGCGTCATCAGCTGTTCTTTGGTCTCCACTGAGGTCATAATCGGAGGATGTGTTGGAGTAAGAGTATCCGACACCCGCCGGCGATTCCAGGAAGATCACATTTGCCACTACACGTGTTTTTTTTAATCCCGCCGTTAGAGCGTGTTTCAATTCACATATATATGCAAATTGTCCATGAATTTCCAACTTAATAAGCAAAAGAAAGGCAGGTATAAGTTACCATTGTTCCAAGCTTTCTTGTTTCTACTCAGCGTTTTGTTGTCGCTATTTACACGGAACGGGCCGAGTTCTTGCATTGCTCCGTAGCCAAGCGACGAGCATCCGGGCCCTGTGGAGGACACGGTTAATTACCCAGTGTTAACTCATGGAACTTCAGAGAAGAGTGAAGATACAGTAGTATATTATCTTCCTAACCTCCGTTAAGCCACAGGAGGAGTGGCTTTGTCGAGGCACCTTGTGGCGCCTCCACGAAGTAGTAGAAGAGTGCCCGGCCATTCTCCTCGTCGACGGTCACATACCCGCCGTACTGGTCGAAGTCGACGCCGGCTGGTTGCCCCGGCAGCGCAGTGATCTTGTCAGCCGCCTTGAGGGCGCTCTGTTCACTGTCGGAGTAGCTTGTGCTCAGGAGGCTGCTGGCAACCCTGTGGCCTATGTTACTCACCTTAAACGTGCTCTTATTGTCACTAGGAGCATTCCTCCTAGACCTGATGAATTCTCTCAGTCGATCCGCTTGGGACGGGGACGCATCAGCGTGCAGCGCAGCGAAGCAGATGATTAGCAAAAAGTAGAAGAGGGAAGCAGTATTGTTATTGTTCCTCATCATATCTATACGGTGAAATGTGTGTCTGTGCATGATTTACAATTCGCGTGGCAAGGGGTTTATATAAGCCCCTGATGAAGGACTGAAAATTTCTTTTGAAAGAGCAGTTTTGGATTCTTCTCGGTGGCTCTATTTTTGACCGAGTGCAAACGGATTGTATGTACTTTCTGGCGTTCTATGATCATTCTTTCCTCTCCAGGCTGGCTGTTCTGGAGTTGGCAGAGCTCGCAACAGCATCTCTCTCCTCCATGGTTTCCTATACTATGAGTCTCGTTGCCATTGCCAGTGGTTCCCATGAGAAAGGACATGTTGCCGGCTACTGAGAGCGAGCATGTGTGTAGATCACTCACTGGTAGGAAGCGCGCGGCCGTTAGGATTTATTCTTGTAGTGTAGTCTTTGGTCCGTTCCTCACCTGCATCTGCATGTATGCTCTGTTCAAAAGGATCATTTGGGAGGTAATCGATGGCAATTTGCATGTGTTCCGTGTACTACAGGTCCAAACGTTCTGCTGCAGGCCAGATGTAGGATTAATGGCGAGAGGGTATTATCCATTTGAAAATCGTACGACGCCGTATAATGCACATACAACATACATGCAACATATATAAACAAAGTACACCAATGCCGGCCGACCGCGGAAATCTTCTGGTCCGAACGTTCGGACTGGAGCAGCGCACCGATGATTTTCCCGCGTCGATCCGCAGCTATCCTGTCCGTTGGCGAGTAAGGCAGAAACGGGCCAGGGACCGAGGCAGCCCACGAAGTGTACGTTACTCTACGAAGCGCAGCGACGGGCCAGGGACGAGAGCAGGGTAGGTAGGTACGTATGTTTTCCTTTTTCCTTTTTTTTTCTTTTTTCTTTTCTTTTCTTTTCTCTTTTTATTTTTTCTTTTTGTGCTTCTTTTTTCTTTCTAGTTTTTATTTTCGTGCGCCATTTCTATTTTTATTTTATTTGTGTTTTATGTGATTTTCTATTATTCTTTTAATTTTTTATATTTTATGTTTCTTTTATTTTTTATTTCTTTTTATTTTTTTCCTTTTCTTTATTTTTTCTTATGTTCGCGTCCTGTACATGTGATGTTCTATTTTTATCTTTCCTTTTTTTTCTTTTTGATTTCTTTTTATTTGTTTTCTTTGTTTCTTTTCTAATTATGTTTTTATTTGATTCATGTTTTTTATTTTTTAATCTTTCTTTATTCTTTTCTTTTTCGTTTTATTTTATTTTCTTTTTCTTTTTCTTTTCGTGCATCGTTCATTTTTTATTTTCTTTTTAAGTTTTATGTGTTTAATATTATTTTCATTTTATATTTTTTACCTTTCTTTTATTTTTTTCTTTTCTTTTCTTTTCTTATTAATTTTATGATGTTCTATGTTGTTTTTTTGTGATGTTCATGTGTATACTTGTGATGTTCTATGTTTTTTTATGTTCACGTGTTATACATGTGATGTTCTTTGATGTGTTTTTTTATGTTTACGTGGTATGCATGTAATGTTCTATAATATATTTACGATGTTCGCGTAATATACATGCGATGGTCTCGTAGCATACATGTGATGTTGTATGGTGTTTTTTGATGTTCACACAGTATACATCACTTTAGTGATGTTCATGTAATATATATGCGATGTTCTATAATGTATTTAATGATGTTCAATGGTGTATTTAGTGATGTTCACTTAGTATACATGTGGTGTTCTATGATGTATTTAGTGATGTTCACTTAGTACACATGTGATGTTCTATAATATATTTTAGGATGTTTTAAAAAATATCCCTGTGATGTTTTTTTTAATTTTTTCTATTACGTGTTTTTATTTTTTTCTTATGCTTTGCTCCAGATTTTATTATTTTTCATTTATGTTATATATTTATTTTAATGTATATTATAATACCAATTTCATAAACCTAAAACTAGAATTGTATTCTTCAAAAAAGAGAATATTTTTTTACGAAAACGGAACATTTTTCTCTGAACCTAGAACATTTTCTCTGCTCACTAAAAGAAAAATGTTATATCTTTATAAAATTAATGTTTGTTAATGAACTTTATCTAAATATATCCATGTAGGGTCTTGTTTTGAAGCATTTATTATAAGAAACACAATGGTGCAATTGAAATTTAATTTGGATACTCAGTTTAGTAGTTATGACTTTTTTAATTTGTATCGCACGCAAATCAATGAAATAGAAAAATAATCTGTACTTAAGTTGGTTCCCCACTTGCTTCCCGCGCAGCGCGCGTTGCAGTTTTGGTTGGCGCGGGATTTAACGGGAAAGCGGCCGAACGGGTGTTACCGTCCGATTGGTCGGACTGTAGCACGCCCCGACCGGCCGCACCACCCCCAACCCCCCCCCCCACCACCACACAATATTTGCATGATTTGTTTTTTTGGAACATGACTGCATAGAATGTCGCAATGGGAATCAAGTACCCTGTTCTAGAGGAGTGTACATGTAACGACCCAGTTTTAAATTACATGCATATGTATCATGAGCATCTCTAAAAGTTTGTTAATGGACACCATATATATGTGCTGCTTCTACACTGAAATGTACACAAAAATATGTCTTTCATTTGCACCAAATAAATTCTCCATGTTTTAAAGGTGTGATCTCTCTCCAAATATGTTTTAAGAAGAAGAGATATGGGCAATACAAAAGTATGGAAAAAATATAGACACGTGAAGGTCCAAGTAGTGAAAAGAAAAAATGAGAGCACCTGATAAAAAATGAGAAAAGAAAGATAGCCATGCCTCAAAATAATAAGTTAGAGAGATCATATCTACAAAAATAGTATCTTTATATCATATTCTACACACATGCACATCTTGATCTAATAGTATGTCATTTCTCTCCTTGTATCCATGTTTTGACCTTACAATATATGCAATGTAAGTATGCTACATCTTTTATTCTACCCAAAACTCCACATATACCATTAGAAGTAGGATAAGAAGCCAACTTAAAAGTGAGAAATCAAACACCATATGAGCTGACATGAGAGTACCATATGATGAACATTAAGTCTTCTTTTGAAAAATATTGCAAAAATCTCCAATATTAAACTAGTTCGAAATGAGAAAACTAGTGCTCAAGTCAAGCTCTTCTATCTCTCAACCGCCCAAGGCAAAGAAAAAAGCCATATGCCCCATAGAGGACTAAGGTAATATGGGTGAGTTTTCAACATTGTCAATTCTTATCGGCAGCCACGTGGCTATAAGGGTTGAGGTTCTCCATCTTCGAAGCAAGAAGATACCTAAAGTACACTCATTGTCATTCTTATCCTTAAAACTAGCCCTAGGCACCCTGATGTAAAACCAATGCCAATACCAACTGTTACTCCACTGGTTACCCTGATCATACGAGATCTGGACCTTCTCTTGCACGAGTGCTGCATCAAAATGAAGATGCACTTGGCAAATTGCGCATCCTTAGTTCACCGTCAGCCTTAATATGCTTCGGCTGATTCTGCAACACATTGAAGTAGTCGATGTTGGCCTCCGCTCCGAAGGTCAGGCAGGCCTAGTAGAACTTGGCCAGGTTCAAGATGTTGTTTGGCGTCAAGTGGTGAAGCTGCACACGAAACCTATCCAAGACCTCCCATAGAAAATGGACCGAAGGTAACCAAAGGTTGTATGTGAAAAGATCCCGAAACATGACAACCTCGTAAGTCTCGAGCGTCTCACCCTTGGGAGCCCTCACTCTCACCACTTCAAAAGTCAAATCACCCCTGGTCAGCATATCTTTTCAGATTTGCTTAAGTGGTCAATGAACGCCCAAACTCAAGGATATTCTCAATTTTGGCCTTGCCTTCATTGGTTTGACCTTTGTCGGTCCCACCCTTGTTGGCCTCACCTTCGTCGGCCTTGTCTTTGGCACCAACCAAATCATCAACGTCGACCTGAACATCGCTTAGAGTTTCCTACAGGTATCTTGGGCCTTCGTACTAGCCATCATACAACTATGAATAATCATAGCTTAGTCCTTGTCATTAATGTTGACTACATTACGCCAAGGACCACACCCTTAAAAGAAAGCCACCTCCTCAACCAGCAAACGAAGGCTAAATACGAAGAATCCAGAATTTTAACTACAACAAAAGCGACCGAGCGTACCTCCATTTTACCCTCCACCTTAATGAGTCACTTAGACAACGGTCCAACTTGCACCATGGCACAATCAAACTCCCGCCCTATCATGTCAACTACAATGGGCTGAGACAACCAATGGTCGGTTCACACGTCAAAAGTGAATGTGGAACAGGCCTAACACAAACGAGCCCGAGGGGAGCGAACCCTCAAGACCTAAAGCAACCACCAAAAGTTCTAGGATCAGGCTTGTCTGCATCAAACCTCACCCTCAAAGGGGGAACTATTGGGGGAAAGCCTTGTGCTCAATGGTTCACTAACCACTTCTAACTTCATGTTGTATAAGTCCTATGATCGCAGGTGTCATAGCGGAGGTCCCAGCGAGGAAGGCCCTTGAAGGGCCAAGAGTGGGTCTGACACCGAAGGCCCTTGGGAACCTTCGGTCATGGTCGAGGATTCGATCCTTTGCCTGAAGGTTCTGATGTTCTCCAAGTAGGGCCGAAGGCGACAGACGATGAATCCCTAGGAAGCCCTTGGTGATTGATACCTGCAAATCCTTCGAGCAAAGGAGGAGACGACTTTCAAATCAAAGATGTTAGGAGAAAATTAGACAGCCCAATGGGACAAGGGACCATTTAGGAAGGAGGTTATGCATGTAAAGGTCTCTTAGGCCCCTAGAGCATCACACTCTGTATGAGGGAGAATATTCAGGAATATTCCCTAGCTGGCAAGGGCAAATGTGTACAAGCAAAAATTTGTAACCATACCATATAAAAGGGGTACTCAAACCCCAATGAGGAAAGATTAATTCGTACACCTACGAAGAAACAGTCGCCTCAGTAAACACGCATAGGCAGGCGAAGGTCCTACCCAGTAGGAAGTGACCTTTACATGTCCCGGCAATATTGTGTGT